GATTGTTATGACCTACTGTAATGACTTGATTATAGCTCTAGTTATGAGTTTGATGATTTGTATTGACTCTTGTATGGTTGTGGTCAAATTGTGCAAGGCATGCATGAAAAAGGTCTTGTCACTATGAGTATAGAGCAACACCATAGCCACACCTCTCACTAATCCAACTCAGTTTTGAGAAAAAGATGACTAGAAGGAGATGCAAACACCACATGATTGATAAAATGCTTCAATGGTCTTGAGTTGAGAGTGAGGCTTGAAGCTAATTGAGTGCCCAATGATCACGAAAGTGGCGGTAGCACCTAGTAGCATCTCCCTAGTTCCCCTGTCAATGCATTACATGAGTTACAACCAAGGATACACTATATATCTACACTTACGTGATCTAATGCAAGCCCTTAGTTTTTACTATTCATTATTGATTGCCTTAGTTAATTGTTTTATCATTACACTTAGCACTTGATATCCATCAACTCACTCTTTGAACTAGCTAGTTCCCAAACACTCTACACTCTTGTGATTAACCACGTACTATTCAACCCCCTTCCGGTTCACTCCTTGAGACGATATCCAGTGTGAGGATACCCTGACCTCTCACATACGCTCCATTTTATCACCACTTTTACTCAACTTTCAATGTGCTTGTGTTCAAATGAGAACCATCCCTTAGGTGAGAACTGCGAAGTAGGGATAGTGCATGAATACAAACAATTTAATACTCCAGGTGCACAATGCTCACAATCTACTCCTGACGTACACTCCGTATTTAGTAAATTATGTGCATTTATGCAGGTTCGCAGGTTCTCGTCTAAGGCATGGTTCTCATTTGATATGAATATATATAAAAATTATTTGTGTTTTGGGATTAATTACAAAAATGAAAAATCTTAAAGTAGATATATATCTTGTTTAATTTGTTTGGGTCCATATGTATGTTTGAAAGGGAGCTGAAAATGCAGCTACGTTTTTGTTTGCTTTTCTCCTTAACATAATTGCCATATACTACGAAAGACTATAAAAAAGGCTGGGCATCCGTTTGTGGTAGTGATTTGATGAAGAACAAGCGAACATGAAAACATTTGGCTAGGGGGGTGGGGTGGGTGGGACAGCACAATTAACAATAAAAAACAAGCATTATTTGTCGTGATTGCAGCAAATAAAGAACAACTAGGTTTCACTGTTTTAACAGCATATTTAAAGAAGAAAGCCAAGGCTTTGCAGTGTGGCGCAGACGTTTCATCAGCAAATCAGCTATGGACAATAAGTGTAGGTCCCCCCTCCCCTCCTCCCCTTTATTTTTTATTTTATTTTATTTTATTTTTTTTTGATATGAGGAAACACATAACCGTTATTCGAGGATATATAAGGATAAATCTTATTTTTGAGAATAAATTAAAATTGTTAACCTTCAGGTATATGAGAATTACAATCTATTTGGCCACCACTTTGGGACATACCGGTCACATTTTAGTTAGTCTTTTGTGTAAATGTATGTATATAAATAAATAAATAAATGACAATAAAAATGTCTTGATGGATTATAAGTTTGATGGGTTCAAAATTCTACTTCTCAACTTTTATATTTGATTGTTACGTTGTATCAATAGTAGAGGCAAAGGAGTTAAATGATACATGACAATGGAGTGCAACTAGATAGGTTTATGTATAGACTTCTCTTTAAATCTGAACTAAAATTAAGAAACAGTATCACTGTCGTATAACAAAACTAGTTCAATTTTAATAAATTTGTTAAATTCGTTACTTGTTGATACGTTCCAGATCTGTGTCCCACAATTCTTTCAAAAGCTAATTTTTATATTCAATTAGCAGTTAATGTCATATTTCAATTGTAGAAGGTTAAATTTGTCCATTATTCACTCAACATTTGGCTATATGTGTACAAATATGGCTTCTCATCGCATAACAAAAACAACAAATTAAATTAATGTTGCCACGTGAAGTTGGGGCCTTCATATATTTTGTATGCATTACGAGAAAGAGACTCCGCCTTGTCGTTTCTCCCCTTCTGTTCTCATCTCCATTTCTATGCATGTCACCACCACTGTGAAACAATCAAAAACATGTTATTCATTAATTTAGTACTGTACTCCCTATAGTATTATTAATTAAATGAACGAAATTAAAAAGAGTTGGCCATAGTTGCACGAGTTGAAGAAGGGACGATGTTGTTTGTTTGTTTAATTTGTAACAGTCTCATCAATCATCATATATACCGTGGTGGCCGGCCGGAAACATCTTTTTATATAAACCCCTTAAGCGCAGCTCTGCATATATCCTCCCGCCGGTCGTCTTTATGATCTTTCCGGTAGGTGATTCCATCAAGAATCATCTTGGGCTTCCAATAACCATAGTTTAACGTTGTCCCATCTTCCAAAGAGTGACGTTGGCCAGTACAAGAGAACATGATAAATGTGATAATTAAGGACGACCAATGTGTTAATCAGTTATATTACTCCATATAATATTCTTTTGAGCCAAGACAAATTGTACAACTATATCATATTATAGTTGATTGCATCTTTGTAAATTAACTAATATATACCATATTGAGATAATTACATGAGGTCACATCAAATAATGATACATGGAAATGGAGTGCAACTAGATAGGTTATGTATAGACTTCTCTTTAGATCCGAACTAAATTTAAAGAATAGTGTCAGGGTCTCATATAACAAAACTAGTTTGATTTTAATAATTTCTTTACTTGATTGATATGTTCCAGATCTGTAACAAAGTTAACTTGACAAAACTACTTTATTATAGTATATTTCATTGTTGATATGTCACCATCCTTAATAAATGTCTCATGCATATGCATGCTGAACTTAACTCGGTTTTAGTGAATTCGCAGTTAACAATGCTGCCTGTTAGGCACATAAAAAAAATCAACTTTTGTAATGATTGGATAACAATAGGCGGCAAATATCTGCCACAAAAAAAATAGGATTTGAGAAAAAAGAGAGAGAGACATGGATGGAGATAGAAGCAAACAGGGGGAGAGAGGTACTATACATACATGGAGTGAATGCTGGGATAGAATCATAGAATACGATGAGAAATGAAGAATGTTGGGGGGTGGCATGCAGGACAAATGGCCTGACTTCGTACGTGTTCCTTAAACTTGAATGTATGTTGGCGCAAGATGCCAAATTAAATCTCCAGATATATAAAACAATGCCGAGGATAAAGCCAAAATACTCATCACCTCTCATCTGATTTTGCACAACCATCCATTACATTCAGTGCACGCTTATCAATATTTATTCATCAGTAGTTTGTCCCTTTCCCATGCCTCCTGCCTGCATGCATTCTTCTCTTTCTTCTCAATTTTTTTTCTTTAATTTTTGGATAAAACATCAATTTACACAGTACATGCAGATTTAAGTTCTTATAACTTGTATGCTCATTGCGAAACACATGCACTTTGTTGATGTTTATTCATTCACCAACCAACATAAATCTTAAGCTAAGCACAATTATGTAATCAAAAATTGTAAAAACAGTATAATATAAGAAAAATAAGGTTGTTGGTTACTCAAGGTGAGCCAAAAACTATAATATAATGTATTTAATTAAGTAGAATTTAGTACCTTTTTAATATTTTGTGGTTGAGTTAAAAGTAGAGTGGTTTTGCCACGTTTAGTCCAAAACTTTTAAATTGACCATTTGTGATCCTTTGACTTTCAAATTATTACCATCCATGGTCCAAGTAACCAACTATGTTCCTTAAACTTTCAATATTTAACCAGCCTTGGTCCTCTTAGAAGGACTATGACTGGTTAAAATTTGATAGTTGAAAGACTATAGATGGTTAACTTGGACTACGAATGGTAACAATTTGAAAGTCGAAGGATAACGGGTTGTCAATTTGAAAATTTAGGTCTAAACATACCAAAATCATTATACTCGGAGGGCCTCAGATAGTATTATTTTTTTTGAGGTTATATTTATAGGTTAAGATGAGTTGTAACCTTTACAACATATCCAGCTAATATATATAACGCAGACATGCGTGTAATGATATAATTTTTCTCATATAAAGGTCAACAACACAAAGCTACGAATATAGGATAGCTGCAACAAATTTCGCGTGTCTTTGAAATTAAAACGTAGTTTATTGATGGAAAATTTCCAAGTGAGGATAGGTCAAATAGACCAACTAACCTTCCTTATAAGTATATTGCACAACTCTAATAAGTATTTTCTCATAAATAACTTGGGCTAGCTTGAACTAATATATACTCTATTGTCGAGCATTGAGAGTTAATGATATTAACCCCAACTAACACACCTAATAGATGCACACGATCCATTGTTGGGATAATAAATCAATAACTGTTGTAGAGTTGAAATTTCAGATGTTTGTGTTACCAAAAAGGAAAAGGTTGAAACTTTTGAAATTTCAGATGTTGAGACTTTTTTTTTTTTTTTTTTTGGTTTGAAAAGGTTATTCAACAAGTGGAACTAAATGACAAAAGAATTAAATAAATTATACAGAGTAGCTTTTTGTTTTTCCAGCAAATGCTGGACTTTGAATACCCTATATATTCGTTATATTTCTTTTGGAATATATATATTTACATCTGAAGAGTTCTAATTTTAATCCTTGGGTTATTAAAAATTATTTTCATTTGTATTGTGTCCTCAATTTCCTTATGCTAGATATATAAGACGGCTAGTTTATTTCCCCTCCTTTAATTTAATAATGGTTCCCCGTTCCAGGCCAAATTTTATATGTAACATGTTAAGTTAGAGATCAGAATTAAATATAAGTGTATTGCTGGTTTTAGGAAGATATTTCCGTCACGTACGTAACCCTCCTCACTGGATAGACTTTAATTTGTGCCCGCATTATATTAAATTAATTTTAACTCTGTGTATGTTTTGTAGTAGCAAAAGAGCGGAGAATTGAATATGATAAAGTTGAAATAAAACAAATTAAAGATGGATAACGCTCTGATAGATGTCTTCATCATAAAATACGAAATAAGAAACGACATTACCATTAATTAATATTATTTTTAGGTGCTGACATCATCATCATAATCCTCATATTTTTTTGTGGTGACTAAGGACAATGGGAATTAGGTAGGTAGAAAAGTAGGGACGATACGATAATAAATAGAACATTATTAGTAGTGCTACTGCTGCTTAGGCCTGGGTTGCATGGAGGGTTTGGTTCTGTTGGAGCCATGTAGCGAAGTTGAGAAGAGTGTCGGTGTCAGACCTGTAATGCAGCTGGGTGTACTCAAGGAGGGCCGGCCATTTGAAGTCTGGATATAGTTTAGGATGAGTGGCGTCCACCAGTTCTGGTGGCGGCGTCACCACCTTATCCTTGTGAGGACACAGGAAGAAAGCTATGGACTTCCTGGGAATCTCGTTGTTCACCACAGCCCTGTGCATGCAACTTTTGTATAATCCGTTGGAAAGTGCCTGCGGGTAGTTAATTCGTTAGTTAGTTGGATATATAGAATTGTTGGAATGAATATAAACTGGTGCTTACCATGAAGGTGTCGCCTATGTTAACGACAAAAGCGTTGGGGGTGGGGTTAACTGCACGCCACTCGTTGTCCACAAATACTTGAAGCCCACTCACGCTGTCTTGGTGGAGGATGGTTAAGGATGTTGGATCACAATGAGGTCCGGTCCCTAAGGTGAGCTCTGGTTTCTGGCATGGTGGGTAGTAGTTCAGTCGCAATACGGAGTCGTTTTCTTGATAGAATTCACTGAAATGCTTTCGGTCTACACCTAAACCCATGCCCAGCAATTCCGTGATCTCCAGAGCCAGTGTGTTCATCGCATTGCAGTACTTTTGATAAAGCTCCCTGTATGTATGTATGTATGTATGTTCATCATATCATCGTAATATGTATGCATGTATGTATAACTAACTAACCAACCTCGTACTGAACTCAACTGCACATTAATTGATGTACGTAGAATTAAGGATAGATTTAATTTGATGAGAGGGTAAATATTTAAAGTGGCATATTATATATATATATATATATATATATATATATATATATGTAAACGAACTGAACCTACCCAAGATCAGCAAACTCTTGGCCCAGTGTTTTCTCGAAATACTCTTCCACTACGTGGGAACATTCTTTCTCAGCGGAAAATCTAAAAGAAAGAGTTTCCTTCCATGGCAGCTTGGCGTTGAACCTGCCGGTGAAACTGCTGGCATAACCGCAATGCTCGCCCAGCTTTCTCAGAGCTTTTTCCTTGAAGGACAGAGGTAACTCAAAGTAGCGGTCCATTTCACGGACACCGTCGGAGAGGAGCTCTGTGTCAACTCCGTGATTCACTACCAGAAAGAAGCCATGTTTTTTGCAGGCTTCGTCCACCAGCTTGCAAGTTTCAGCCACGGCCACGGGATCGCCGGAACGGAAGGCAGCCATGTCGATGACCGGGACCTGGAATTCTCGGGCGGCGTAGGGGCCGGGTTTCTCGTGGTCCGGCCACAGGAATTCCGTTGGGATGTTGGACTCGTGGCGGAGGACGGAGGAGTCGAAAACCACCGCTGCTGCAGGCTTATTTTCAATTTCTTGGCGCTCATGATTAGGAGTTGGTGTTGGGATCATACATTCAATCGCCATGGTATGAAATGAAAGCGAGATAGAGAGAGAGATGTCAAAATGCTTTGTGAATGATATGGTGTCTCAAATAAGAAAATGGTGACCCCTTTTATAGATCGCCAGGGGGGTGGTGTCGCTACTCGCTACGCAAACTTCTTTTTATTAAATTAAACTTATAATATATGGTATATGAGGAGGTATTTGTTGTCTTTTATCGATGTAATATAATATATGCTGACTAGAAAGCGGTTCCCAATGTAATAGAATTTGAATAGTTACTTTGATTAAATGAGAAAATTACTTTCGTCCAGAAAATTATGCTTCTCCCATTTTTAACCAAGTGAATTTAAATGTCCTTGTAGTCCACGCACACTAAAATCAAAAAAAAATTCAAGTTTCTATCACTACTTTTATGAAAAACATAATAAATATTAAATAATATTAAATAATATATTTAACTATTTCAATGATGGACGTAATATGTCTATGTTTAATTATTTTTTTTAATGATGAACATAATATGTGTATGTTTATTTTTTAAGAAAAAAACTTTTTTTTGTCTAAAAAGAAAAAAGAGACTATTAACGCGCTCAAATGATCCATGCAGGCGCGCATGGTGCGGCAAACGCTCACCTAATTAAGCCAAGTTTTTTTTTTTTTTTTTTTTCTTTCAAGGCTAAAAAAAACCTATTTTCTTGCAAATCAAGTTTTTTCTCTCCTCTCTTCTCTCCCATCCACCTCACCCTCATCCAAGCAAGCCAAAAATTAAAAAAAAAAATTTTAAAAAAAATTGATTGATGACCTTGCTCTAAGGATTTTGAGTTCTACTACATAAACTTCCAATCTCTACTACCTCACTTTTATTCCATGATGTGGCAAGCTAAGAGATGATAAGTTATCTTCATTTTGTTAGTCTCATTGAAAATATCAATATTAAAATTTTGACTGAGGGCAAGTAAAAGTAAAAAGTAGAACTTAAAGAGTTCAAATAGTATTTTTCAACTCACCATATCCAAGACAATTTGTTACGAATTTCAAAGTAATCAATTACAACCTACCTCACCAACTCCAAGGCCACTATTCATCAATAACATGATTTTGTTTAGATAATATCAACTCACCAATAACTACTAGATTATTTCTCCCATATTTATAGAAATAATACTAGTTCTTTATTTAATTTGGACTATAAAATAATTCTGAAAGTATCAATATACTAACTTTTATATTCTCAAGCCGCTCTTAAGTGACTGAGGGTCTTTTCAATCTTCATCTTGTCCAATTCATTACAACTCTAAAATTCAAGTTATAATCCAAACCAAAAGCTACCTGGGGATTTATGCTAGAATCTCCGAGTATGATAACACTAACATATGGTATGTAAATCAATTGGGCTGCGCTATTTGACTTTATAATATAATGCATCCATATATGAATAACCCACATGCATGATCACGTAAAACTCCTAACCAATCAAATTCCCCATCAAAATATCAAGCTTAAGAGTACTGATGAAGGAGTACTACCGACCCTAGGGCTCAAACCCATGACCTCCTATTTGGAAAAATCACTTCATGCTACTAGACCATAAGGTTATCAACATCTAATTATGAGAATTAATATAAAGTGTGTATTTATGGAAGGTGAAAAGAGATATAATTACTAAAAAAAAAATGTTGGGGGTGCTAGGTGAGACAGTAAAAAGGTCATACCACAATCATTGCATGTACATGTATCCAAACATGAAGGGACAAATCGGGGTTGTCTACTTGTAAGTAGAATTAGGTAAAACTTGGAGAGTTAAACATACATATATATGTTGTTGTACGCTAAATGTTAATTTGATGAAAAGAAAACAGTACAATGATGGTGGCTTTACAACTACTAGTACACCGCTATGCTCATCATTTCCTACTATACTTTTAGTAAGTAGTGGTTAACTCATTCTTGTTAATTAAATTGTAATATATATTTTCATACACATTTAATAACCCAGGCTTAACATATGTAAATTCCTCTCTTAATTAATCAAAAATTTTGTAATGTCAAATAGGCATTATGTCAGATTCAAAAAACAGTAATGTTAAAATTCAGAATTTGAGAGACCTGGCGGGTGGAGAATATCCACCACCCGCCAGTTAGGCGGAAGCAAGATATGTGAGAACCAAAGAACAAGAGAATATACTATATTGAAAGAGTACAATAGATTGTCTCTCTTGATGTATATTCTATACTTCTATGGACCTCTATTTATACTAAACTAGATACTAAATTAGTCTAGGAAACTACTAATAAGAATAGGAAATTAAGATAACTTTCTTAATATTCAACACTTGTGATTTCTTTCCTTAACATGTGATTTCTGTGATTTCTTTCCTTAGCACCCCCCCTCAAGTTGGAGCATGTAACAGAGAAATGCCCAACTTGGGAATAAGAGACTTTTGATTGACGTTGTTGTTAGCGTCAATCTTGTCAGCGTCGACAACCTCCGTGTCTAAATCTCTAAGACTGCCTAATCTATAGAGATTCCAAATATTATATTTATATTCTATAACATTACAAATATATCACATGAGCCTAGGACTTCACATCTAGAGTCATAACCTTCGAGATCAACACCCATGTCTCGAACCACTTGATCAATCTTCAAACCACGTTGTGCCAAATCAGTCCACCGTTCAATCTGTTGCACTAACTAAGCTTCCACGAAGCCAAAAACAGGCCAAACACCACAGCGCACCTGCCACTCACACCCCACACCGTTATCAACACTGCCTAACACCACAGTGCTCCTGCCTCTCGCACCACAAACCATCATTAGCGCTGCCCAACACAGTGTTTTCCTGTTTTCCTGGTGCACACAATTGGTTCATCCCGAACCAATTCTTCTTCAACCATCGGCCTCCCATAACTGTCGTGGCATATGCCAGGTCCGCATCCCTCCTAGCATCCGTGCTGCCCATCACTACAGCACCCTGACAATTGGTTCATCCCGAACCAATTCTTCTTCAACCATCAGCCTCCCATAACTGCCGTGGCATATGCTAGGTCCGCATCCCTCCTAGCATCCGTGCTGCCCATCACTGCAGCACCCTGGACTGATGGACATTGAACAACCTACAACGACTCAACTCATACCAAAATATGAGACTAATCCTATGGACCCACAATAATTAACCAAACAACACAATCCACAAGATATAATAAACCAAAAGCTCTGATACCATGTTAAAATTTAGAATTTGAGAGACATGGCGGGTGGAGAATATCCACCACCCGCCAGTTAGGCCGAAGCAAGATATGTGAGAACCAAAGAACAAGAGAATATATTATATTGAAAGAGTACAATAGATTGTCTCTCTTGATGTATATTCTATACTTCTATGGACCTCTATTTATACTAAACTAGATACTAAATTAGTCTAGGAAACTACTAATAAGAATAGGAAAGTAAGAAAACTTTCCTAATATTTAACACTTGTGATTTCTTTCCTTAACATGTAATTTCTGTGATTTCTTTCCTTAACAAGTAACGTAATCATATAATGTACGCATGCCGCGACTGCAGTTAATATTATGAATCATCCATAATCCCTATACTCAAATCCTCTTCAAATTCAATGCATCTACATTACATTACTACGTAGTAAATTTATTAAGAAACAAAAAATTATTGTGGATACTCAATTACATTCGTTACATCTTAATTTCAACGTGCATGCTAACTTATTTGTTGTCTTTTTGCCGTATAGTACATATGGTCGGGGTAAATTTTCAAGTCTGGTATGGGGCCGGTGAAAATTAAAGTTAATTACGATTATATGTAGCAAATGCTTCCGAATAGGTAGGTATATATCATTTTACGTGCATATTTAACAATTGATATTAACATAAAATGGTAACATATATTATATAACATTATTATATTGTTATATATACATATTTGTGAATGCTGATGTAAACCCTTAATATTGGTTGCTAGCTAGTACTATCTTGTTGAACATATTACACTAGTAGTATTTTTAAGAATAGTAAGAAATGTAAAGATAACTCCAACTAAACTGGTTGAATAGTTGGCTTAATAATTATAAAATTTTATATTTAACTTTCGTAAAAGTTATTTAATGACTTTTTTTAGTTTGAGTTTGATAATGTCACAAAACGAAATCTTGTTACATAAATCTTGGTTTATTATATAAGCACTGTTCTTCACAATGATGAGCCTTGACCAATAGCCGTCATGTACAATCTAGAATACTCATCCAAAATGCAAGGTGGTAACTGGTAAAAGTAATACAATACAAGTATTGCAATTATTTGCAACGTTTCCCTTGTATTATATTATATTATAATATTAAGATTATAAGTTAGGATAATATTAAAGTGCATATATGTTATTTAGTATTTGGTTGAAAGGAAAGAATTAACGGGGTAAGAAATTGTAATTTGGTGAGAAAAGAATAAGGTGTGTAAAAAGTTAGAAAGGAAAGAAGTGATATAAAGATTAAAATGTGTGTAATAATATTAATAATAATAATATTCAAAGACAAATATGTGATTTTCTTCTCTCTTTTTTTTTCTCTTCTTTTATATGGTCGAATTGCAATTCTCTCCAACCAAATCATGTAATTTTCCTTTCATGTAATTGCATTGATATTGAATTGCAATTTATGCCAAACAAACACCCTATAGCTAGACTTCTATTATAATAAGGAGTTTGTTAGGATTTAGAAGAGCTAATGACATACAAATATGCATTGATGACATGCGTTTATTTAAGGTTCTAGTTCTCTTATTGTATACATTAATTCAATTCTTCATACACTATGTAGAGATAGTTGAGCAGAAGTGAAAAAAAACACCAGAGACTCATCCCTTCATCAACAGGAAGCTATATATATATATATATATATATATATATATATATATATATAGAGGCGGGTTCAGGTGCGGCGGTGCGGTTATTTCTTACGGTGCGGCAACACCAATAGTTCACCAAATATGCACCATCAACGTTAGGAAATACACCATACAAAACAGAGTAAACAGAGCCCTGCATCACCAAACACACACCATTAGGTGTGAGTAA